CTCAAAATATCTAATTGTGCTATGCTCACCTATTTTCAGACCACAGTTGACCACGAGTAACTGAAACTGTCATGGTGTTCGAACCTGAGGGACTCCCATCTTTGGTGAGGGCGAAGAAAATGAGGCTGGGACTTGCTGGGCTGCATTCCCAGAAAGTTAGGTACTCCTAGCCTCTAGATCTTTACTAAACAGACCCAGATTGGGAGTGTCCCAATATCCTGACTTTTTTTTTTTTTTTTTGAGACAGAGTCTTGCTCTGTCGCCCAGGCTGGAGTGCAGTGGCACAATCTTGGGTCACTGCAAGCTCTGCCTCCCAGGTTCACGCCATTCTCCTGTCTAAGCCTCCCAAGTAGCTGGGACTACAGGCACCTACCACCACGCCCGGCTAATTTTTGTATTTTTAGTAGAGACGGGGTTTCAGCACGTTAACCAGGATGGTTCTGATCTCCTGACCTCGTGATCTGCCCGCCTTGGCCTCCCAAAGCGCTGGGATTACAGGCGTGAGCCACTGCACCTGGCCTTATCCTGATGTTTTGAGAACAGAAGCACTTCTAATTTTGCTTTAAAAACAATAATATCGATTCTTGCAAAATATATTAAGAAAATTAATCCTTTATCACAAACCCTTGTAGCAGAGCACATCTCCCCATGATCTTTTTTATCCTGTATATAAACAAGTGGTGTACCTAGGGTGGACACGTGCCTTCTCTTACTTTCAGGAATGCCCTACTCTGTCTATGGAGGATCTGTACTGTCTTGCTCTTTTTTTTGAGACGGTGTCGCCCAGGCTGGAGTGCAGTGGCACGATCTCGACTCACTGCAACCTCCACCTCCTGGGTTCAAGTGATTCTCCTGCCTCAGCCTCCCAAGTAGCTAAAATTGCAGGCACACACCCAGCTAATTTTTGTATTTTTATTAGAGATGGGGTTTCACCATGTTGGCCAGTCTGGTCTCGAACTCCCAGCCTCAAGTGATCCACCCCCTTCAACATCTCAAAGTGTTAGGATTACAGGCGTGAGCCACTGTGCCCAGCCACCACTTTATTTTCTTAATAAACTTGTTTTGGTTTGCACTATGGACTCACCCTGAATTCTTTCTTGCATGAGATCCAAGAACGCTCTCTTAAAGGTCTGGATCAGGACCCGTTTCCTGTAACATCTTTCTGGCAAACCATGCAAGTGACAATGCTGAAGAGACACCTGGTCCAAAGGAAAATCATCTGTGCACACCAATTGACTGACTTTAGGTAAGTGGAGTTCATATACCTGGGTAAAGGATGGGATTGAGTTAGAGGCCCAACTTAGGGGACTTAGAATCTTTCCTAAGACAGAATGGGTTAGAAGGCCCTCTTAATAAAAGGGAAGAACACTTGACCAACTTTGGGTTAGAGGCCCAACTTAGGAAGGTTAAAGTCCCTTCTAAAATGTAAGGGGTGAGAGGTCCCTCTCAGTAATGTCCCTCTTGGTGAAGAATGGGTTTGGCACCACAGGGTGTTAACTGCCATGCTCTTTGTATTAATCTGCCTTGTGTTCTTCACTGCATGAATCAATTTATTGGTGCTGTTTCTGTTTCACTGTCATTTTCAGGAGACTTTATTTAACTGGTCTTAGGGATTTTAACATACTCTTCCCCTCCGTGCCTCCCAATATCCATTCGTTTAATTGTGAAACATTGGGAACAAGAAAGCCTTGAAGGCCCCATCTCTAAAATTGCTGATTGAGATTGGGTATTTAACAGCTGTGAGCAGTAAGATTAGATACGGTTATGTTTTAATGCCGCTATGCCTACTAGGTGTGATCTAGAAGCACTAGGATGGAAATCAGGGGACTTTTCTCCTTGCTGTTTGTTTCATTTTGCACACTAAACAAACACTTCCTTCCTTTCTTGGATTTGGCCAAACCAGCTTTGCTTGGCCAATCCACACTGCCACTATTGCCCACAGCCTGCTTGCTCTGGTTATTCCCATCGAAATCCTCTCTTTTTCCTTTGCCTTATTCAACATTTCTTTTGTCAGAGTCCACGTTGTGGTTTATCTAAGAGTCATGGCTCAGCTCACTTATATTATTTAGACAGTGTAAATAAGAGAATTCAATTTTTGGCAGGGATCCCCTCATTAATGCAGCTGGCCTTAAAAACCTCTCTTACTCTTTTCAGTGGAACTCAGTCAGTGGCAATACAATCTTGCAGGTTTGGAACTTTTCTTTCAACATCACCTGCCTCTTTCATGGGAACCACGGCATCCATCCCAAAGGACTCCCCACTAGGATATATTCTTGAACATTGGGACCAGTTTAAACTAAATGGGCTTAAGAAGAGAAAACTGTTGTTTCTATATAATACTGTTTGGCCTCGGTATTATTTGGAAAAACAAGAGAAATGGCCTCCTACTGGAACTATGACCTTTAAAACTGTACTTCAACTCGATTTGTTCTACAAGCGGGAGGGAAAATGAGATGAAATACCATATGTTCAAGCATTTTTGCTGCTCAGTCTGGATGAAACCGTGCAGGAGGTGCATGCGTGTTTGATGAGAGGAAAAGAAGAAAAAGAACTAGACATCTTAGATGATCCTGTGACACAAGCTCCACCCCCAGTTCAGCAGGCATTTTTTTTTTTTTTTTTTTTTTTTTTTTTGAGGTGAAGTCTCGCTCTGCCGCCCAGGTTGGAGTGCAATGGCCGGATCTCAGCTCACTGCAAGCTCCGCCTCCTGGGTTCACGCCATTCTCCGGCCTCAGCCTCCCGAGTAGCTGGGACTACAGGCGCCCGCCACCTCGCCCGGCTAGTTTTTTGTATTTTTAGTAGAGACGGGGTTTCACCGTGTTAGCCAGGATGGTCTCGATCTCCTGACCTCGTGATCTGCCCGTCTCGGCCTCCCAAAGTGCTGGGATTACAGGCTTGAGCCACCGCGCCCGGCCCAGCAGGCATTTTTGGGTGGAGCAGAACCTCCTTCTATCAGCTTTGAAGGTTCAGATTTTGTCCGTCCTTTCTCCCTCTAGTCCACCTGAAAGTTCTGTTGAGAACCCTTGGTCCCCTCCTCCTGACCTGCCTAGTCCCACTCTATACCCACCACTCCCTAAGGAATTTGGCCCCTCGAGTACTACTCATAGTGGAGCCTCTTATCAACCTCTGAAGGGAAATCTTTGTCCCCTTAGAGAGGTGGCAAATGGGGAAGAAGGCACTGTGTGAGAGGACATGTCTCCTTTTCTATGACTGAGTTGGCTCTATGTAAAGAGAAGTTTGGTCATTTCTCTGAAGATCCAGGAAAATTCCTAGATGAGTTTGAGAAACTAACTCTGTCTGACCTATGGTTTAACGTAGCAGGAGCTACACGTTTCATTGTCTCTGTGTTGCACAGTGGAAGAGAATCCATTTGCGGGACAGCCAGGACCCATGCAGATGAGGTATTGGCTCCAAACCTGAACCATAATGTATATAGGCAGGAAGTGTAACAGTTTCAGATCAAGATCCAGAATGGAGCTGGGCACAGTGGCTCACGCCTGTAATCCCAGCACTTGGGGAGGCTGAGGCGGGCGGATCACTGAGCCCTGAGCACAGAGCTTCCAATGCTGGGTCAACATGAAGGTCCTGGGAGAGACTGGGGACTGCAAACAGGCAGGTTTCCCCCTCCAGAACAGCCTCCTGGGGGACTCAGTGTCAACAGAGACTGGGGCGTGTACAGGAGCATGTACATGGCTCTGAAGGCTTCTGTGCTACAGGGAACAGTGGCTTATTCAGGTTAGCTCCAGTGGGGGAGGGGTGTTGGTGTAACTGTGACGGGGTGGGATTCTTTCCCACCATACCACTCACTGGAGCAGGCGCTTACCCTTCCACCCCATCAAGCCAGCCTGGTAGAAGGGAGTCTTTGACCAGTAAAAGACTCTGGTTGGATAAATACACACTGTAGTTGTGCAGTCAATATCAGAAAGTGTTCTCAAGTTCCAGTCTGATGGACCCGAACATCCCAGCCCTCCCCCTAAGCACGCGCGCGCACACACACACACACGTTGGAGACTGGATGGAACCAGCGACAGAGCAGGGACCCTGGGGTGGAGCACAAGGATAACAAGACCCAGGGGATAACGAGGACAGTGAAAAAAGCAGGGAGGAAGGCCAGAGGAGAGAGGTTTCCCAATGCCCAAATCCGGAGACAGAATGGACTGATAGGAAACGCAATGAAAAAAGAAAAGTACTGTTTTGCACCGTGCCCTGCATGCGCAAATTCACAGAAAAGCTTTTCTATTTTCTGGCAATAGTCTCAGTCTTTCCACTCTTCTGATGCTAAGGGCTGAGTTAAGGGATTATATAAAGATGTACAGAGGACGTCAAGGGAGCCAAAGAGTTCATGAACTGGAATCCTAGTGCAGGAGGCCTCACGAAGTCTGCAGCAAGAGTCAGTGGCGGATTCAAAGAAGGGCCCTTGGCAAACCGAAATCCTCAGGTCTTTTGGTCAGGTGATCTGACCTTAACACAACACCACCTCTTTGCCCTTGTTAATTTCTTTCTGATGCTGCCAACACATATATCTCTCCCTTACATCCCACCCGAGCTTCCCAAGTGACTCCAAGATCTGGCCAACTCTGGACAATTGTCTCAGTGTGGCTCCAAAGGTCACAATCTCTGACCAGGCTACAAATCACCTGACCTTGGGCTAAGTGCCCATCAGCTGGGGCAAAGAATGGCAGGGGAGGGGACTTGTGGCTGCCTTGGATGTGGGCACGTGAGTGCAGCAGTCTCCCTTAGGTGTGCAGGGAAGGGCACCCTGATTGACATGTCTGGTTCAGCTTGCACGAGTCCAGCTCTGTCTCCAGAGTGGCTCTCCAAGGAGCTTGGAGCACTATTGTGCCATCCCCAAGCATCGTGGATTCCCGACCGATACACACCCAGTTACAGCTCTTGAACTTCATGTCTCCAGGGTCAAGTGTGGCTGAGTGACCTGGGATCTCACAGTCCCATGCTCCTGGGGGCCCAACTCCATATCGGAGAAGCCGGAGAACGTATGCCAAGTTGTATGCACTGTGTTCTTTATTGAGACAGAAGTGGGATGGGGAGGGTAACCCATAGGCAGAGAAGTGAAAGGAGGGAGGAGTGGAAGCCATCTATTTCCCAACTCTGCCTTTCCTCCCAGCTGATGATGGTGGGGGCTTAGCCACCAGCCATGGGATTAAGAAGGAAGACCCACCCCCCTTAGACCCCTTAGATACAAGCACAGTGTTGCGTGAGAAGGTTGGGCACTGTCTCATACTTGAAAGAGTATCCTCCATCCGAGGTGGTGCGGACATGTAGGGGCCTCATGGTCCCTGGGAGAGCAGCACAGCAGGGCTGGGCCCCTGGCAGCAAGGAAGGGGGCTGGGCTGGGGTAGGGGGAGCCCCAGGGACTGGAAGGGGCAGGTTTGGTGGGATGTGCAGCCCACAACCACCATGGCAGTAGTGGAAGATAAAACTGGGAGGGTACACGATCCACCGTTCCCAACCCAGCTCCTGGAAGGAGATGTTCAGTGCTACTCTGTGGCAGTTGGCGTGGGCAGCTGGTTCCTCCGGAGGCCTCTGCAGCAGGCGCAGAGCAGAGGGAGACCAAGGCCAGGACATCGGGGGAGTTGAGCGTCGGGCTCTCTCCCCTCCACTGGGTGGTCTGGTCCGAGTGTGGGCCACCAGGAAGGGCGTGGCCTCAGGCTGGGCTGAGCAGGTACAGAGGGGACAGCGCAGCAGCAGCACCAGGACGGGGTGGGTCAGCAGTGAGAGAGCGGAGGTGGCCAGGTGCAGCACGGCCCAGCGAGGGGGTGCATGGCCCAAAGACATGGGCACAGCCACGGGTCCTGCCGGTGACAGTGCCAGCAGGCCTAGCAGGGGCTCAGAGCTATTGGAGGCTGCTGTGCCCTGCCTGTCCAGCCCAGTGTGGAACCACAGCTGGGCTGAAGTCACTTGGCGGCTGCGTGTGTGCTGGGATGGCCGGAACATGTATGTAAAGAGGCCCTCCTCAGCCTCCTGGGCCAGCCCTCCGGCAGTTGGCTTGTCCTCACAGCTGGCATCTGCAGGAGACAGAAGAAAAGGGAGAGGGCAGCCCTGACTGGCAGGGCCTGGCACCCCTCCTCTTCAGCAGAAGGGATGTGGCCGCCAGTCATGAGCCAATGATAGGCTGCACTCTGCTCCATGCCCTCCAGGATGTGGGGACTCTCCTGAGTTTTGGGAGAGCTTCTGTAGGCTCCCCATTTTTAAATTTCATCATGAAAGGACTTTAAAAAATAGAAGACATTGCCAACTTCTCTCTGAAGTGGTTTTACCAATTAACATGCCCATCAGCAGTGTGTAAGAGGCCCTGTCTCTCTCCACTTCACCAGCACTAAGAATTGGTATTAGACTTCAATGCCTACTCACCAGACAGTGTTAAACAGTATCCTGAGTGGTGTCTACATGGATGGTTGTTATGTTACTGTTTTTTTTTTTTTTTTTCTTTTTTTTTCAGAGAGAGTCTTACTCTGTCACCCAGGCTGGAGTGCAGTGGCATGATCATGGCTCACTGCAGCCTCTACCTCCTGGGCTCAAGCAATCCTCCCACCTCAGCCTCCTAAGAGACCACAGGCGTGTGCCACCACACCCAGCTAACTTTTGTGTTTTTTGTAGAGACAGGATCTCACTATGTTGCCCAGGCTGATCTCAAACTCCTGAGCTCAAGCAATCTGCCTGCCTTCGCCTTCCAAAGTGCTGGGATTATAGGTGTGAGCTATCACACCCAGCCGTATTACTTTTTTTATTTTTTTATTTTTTTTGAGATGGAGTCTAGCTCTGTGGCCCAGGCTGGAGTGCAGTGGCGCCATCTCGGCTCACTGCAACCTCCGCCTCCCGCTCTGCCTCCCGGGTTCAAGCAATTCTCCTGCCTCAGCCTCCTGAGTAGCTGGTGCCACCATGCCTGGCTAATTTTTTGTATTTTTAGTAGAGACGGGGTTTCACCATGTTAGCCAGGATAGTCTCGATCTCCTGACCTTGTGATCCTCCCGCCTTGGCCTCCCAAAGTGCTTGGGATTACAGGTGTGAGCCACCGCGCCCAGCCCATATTACTCTTTATATCTTTGGCATGTCAGGAATATTGTATAATAAATTCTTTAAAATGATTCCATTTTTAAAAGACAAGTTTACACCAAAAAAAAAAAAAAAAAAGGAGGAGGAGGGAAAGGCGAGTGGGAAGGAAGAAAATGGAGAACAAGGAGGAGGGGGAAGAGGAGGAGGGCTGTAACTCAGAACAGAGGGGAGTCCTTTCAAGAATGTGTAGCTGGCATCCTCACACTGACACACTCATAGACTATACTAATCATCCTGGAGCAGCACCCGCTGATGGACTGGCAAGTGGAACTATACTGTTACATGGCTTCTTTCATTATCTAGTCACAATTGGTCCATTTTGCAGGTACGGAAATTGAGGCTTAGAGAGGTGAAATGACGTTCAACGACTAAGTGGCCAGACTGGAATTTTGCCTGATCCCAAAGCCATCCTTCTCCCCACTGTGCTGCTAACGGACTGAAGTGAGGGAGGCAGGGGTCCTCTCTAAGAGAAAGGTGGACCAGATGACAAGAAAGCCCACCCGGAGGAGGGCTTATCCATCCAGTCAGTGGAACAAGGGGACGCACATATGTCGAGACAGGAACTCAAGAGAAGATAGACTAGTTTTCCAGAAAAGTTTCCCAACTAATCTTTTGCCTGTATCTCTGATAGCTTCTCAGTCTCAGCTACCTGGGAGTAAAGAAACAGGGTCTGGAGCAGCGAGCAGAGGTAGAGATAGGAGGAAAGGTGGCAGGAAGGGGCCCAAGCCCAGACATCTCCATCTCTAGAGACCCCTGGTCTCCTAGCGCATACCTCCCAAATGCCTCCCACCTGCCATGCACTCTAGGTACAGCCTCTCACTTAATCCTGAGAGGTTGGCGTTATCACGCATTTTACAGATTGGGAGACAAGAGGCATAAGGAGGTTTAATAACTGGCCTATTGTTGCAAAGCCACTGAGTGGTAGGGCTGGGATTCAAACCCAGGTCCACCTGGCCCGCAAACCCATGCTGTGCCTTGCTGCTTCTCAAAGTCACCCTGCCAGTTCCCCCACCCTCGTTACCTGTGGCTGGGAAAAGGATGGCCTGGGAGACATCCTCCTCCTCCTCGGGCTCAGAGCCCCTGCGTGTGAAGCCCCCCAGGGCATGTCTTCGGAGCAGCCGCCTGACTCCAGGGTCCCCACCTTCCCTGGTCACCACGGGGGACCCCAAGGCATCCAGGAACAGGGCCCTCACCTTGGCCAGAACAAGCTCCCGGACCAGCTCCGGCCCTTGGCAGCTGTGACCACCCTGTGGGGCCAGCAGCAAGAAGAGCAGTAGGGGCAGCACCATAGCTCACCTGGCCCTGCTAGCGGGGAACCCACACCCTCCCCCGTGCCCTTTCTGCCAGGGTCTGCCCAGGGCAGCTCCACTCGCCCCTCCCCATCCCACACCCACCCTCTTCTACCCTTCTCACCCAGTCTTCTCCAGTCCTTTCCACGCCCCACAGTCCGAGTTGCCCCTGCCCGTGGCATTGAGACCTCCTATCTCTGACGCAGATGTCTGTGGCCATGAGCCTTATCTCCCACTCCCGCCAGGGATGTGGGGGAGGGCTGGGGAGGATTTCACCCCAAGCGACCTGACTCATACAAGCAAACATTACAACCCCTTCTCCTACACACACACACACACACACACACACGCACACACACACACGCACTCTCTCACACACACACACACATATCCAGAGGTTTACATCAGGTGGGACAGGAGCCTGGGAGCTGCAGTTGGCCAGCCCCGGAAAGTGTCATTTGTCAGGGAGACACAGTGCACCACCCCTCAGACCTTCTGGGGCCCCTTTCAATAAGCAGCTGCTGGGCCGGCCAGCCCTTGGGGGAAGGGCTGGAGCCGGGGCTAGAACCGGGGCTAGGGCCGGGGGCAGGTGGTCCTGCCTGCTCTATACTTAGCCCAGTGGAGCCAGTCTGGGCTCTTGTCCTCCAGCTGTGTCATCAGAGAATATTTTTGGGATTGGCAGCTGCAGGCGCCTCTGCCACTCAGGCCCAAGCCTGGCGGGCGGCTAGGGACCTGGCGGCTGGAGGTGGGAGGGAGGAGGGGGAAGAGGCCCAAGCTGTGGGAGGGGGCTGGGAAGAGAGGCTCCCAAGAGCAGGAAGCCAGGCAGCGGGCAGGAGAGGCTGCGGGGCCCCTCGCTGGAGAGGCAAACAGGAAGGACTGCCCCCTGAGCGCCAGGCTTCAGCCCCGGAATCGCCGCCGCCGCCGCCGCCGCCGCCGCCGCCGAGCTGCAGCTTGGGGCTGAGGGTAAGGAGGCGAGCCGGGAGCAGGAGGCCCGGGAGAGCCTCGCGGGTCCCCGCGCCTGGTCCCCAGCCGCGCCCCGGCCCCGCCGGCCCCGGCCTCGGCTCGCCCTCCGCCCACCCTCCCCGTCGGCCGCTGCAGGCGGTCTGAGACAGCCGCGATGAAGGCGAGCTCAGGGGACCAGGGGAGCCCCCCGTGCTTCCTGCGCTTCCCGCGGCCCGTGCGGGTGGTAAGTGGCGCCGAGGCGGAACTCAAGTGCGTGGTCCTGGGGGAGCCGCCACCGGTAGTGGTGTGGGAGAAGGGCGGGCAGCAGCTGGCGGCCTCGGAACGCTTCAGTTTCCTGGCGGACGGCGCGGAGCACGGCCTGCTGCTGAGCACCGCACTGCCTACCGACGCCGGGGTCTACGTGTGCCGCGCCCGCAACGCGGCAGGCGAGGCCTACGCGGCGGCCGCTGTCACCGTGCTGGAGCCACCGGCCTCCGAGCCCGAGCCGCAGGCCGCCGAGCGCCCGCTGCCACCGCCGGGGTCCGGGGAGGGCGCCCCGGTCTTCCTCACGGGGCCCCGATCCCAGTGGGTGCTACGGGGGGCGGAGGTGGTGCTGACGTGCCGGGCGGGGGGCCTCCCTGAGCCCACGCTGTACTGGGAGAAGGACGGGATGGCCCTGGACGAAGTGTGGGACAGCAGCCACTTCGCGCTCGAGCCCGGCCGCGCCGAGGAGGGCCCCGGCGCGAGCCTGGCGCTGCGCATCCTGGCAGCTCGGCTGCCAGACTCCGGCGTCTACGTGTGCCACGCCCGCAACGCGCACGGCCACGCGCAGGCGGGGGCGCTGCTCCAGGTGCACCAGCCCCCTGAGAGCCCGCCCTCGGACCCCGACGAGGCCCCCGCGCCCGTGGTGGAGCCGCTCAAGTGCGCGCCTAAGACTTTCTGGGTAAATGAGGGCAAGCACGCCAAGTTCCGCTGCTACGTGATGGGCAAGCCCGAGCCTGAGATCGAATGGCACTGGGAGGGCCGCCCGCTGCTCCCGGACCGCCGCCGCCTCATGTACCGCGACCGCGACGGCGGCTTCGTGCTCAAGGTGCTCTACTGCCAGGCCAAGGACCGTGGGCTCTACGTCTGCGCCGCGCGCAACTCGGCGGGCCAGACGCTCAGCGCGGTGCAGCTGCACGTGAAAGGTACGGCGGCGCCCGGGGCTTGGGGAGGGGCCTCTCGTGTCCTCCGAGGCCCTCCGAACACCAGCCCTCCTCGGTGCGCAGCGCTGCCCCGAAGACTGGAGGAGAGGAGGTCCGCGGCAATATTAAAATATCAAACCCGCCCGCCTCCCGCTCTCCAGGGATTCGGATTTACTAGGTCTCCCGGGTACTCAGGAACTTCTTAGCAAACTCCCCAAAAGATTCCGAGGCAGATGGTGGAACACCACTAAGGAGTGATTGATGTACAAACCCGGAGGGCCGTAGAACTCTTCTCCCCTAGTGGTTTTTCAATGTCTTTGTTATTTTACTTCTCCTTCCCCAACTGAATTCACAACCAGAGTCCCAATATATGAGACAGATAAAGGAGTATTTTGTGGGCCTAAATTGCTAAGTCTGCGTGTATAACAGGTACTTCTAAAGCATCAGTGAGAATAAGGAGGCTATTTTATTGAATACAGGCATTTGAAGTGAAGACTGCATTCATGAGTCCAGGCTCTGAACCCTGTGGGAACAGCCTGGCTGCGTCTGTCACCTTGAGAAACAAGTGATTCAGTAGAAAGCTAGACAAGGGAGGACAAATGTCCTGCGTGTTTTTACTGTTCTTTGATTAAACTACTCCCCACGTTTGCAAGAAGAGGAAGGTGAAGGAGAGAAGGTTTATATTTCAATGTTGAATCACCAACAATATCCAATAAACGCTTACATTCTCATAAACAGAAAATTCAAAGGGGAAAAAAAAAGCACACCCCAAACTCACCATTAGGTAACGCTCCCCATAATAGGATTTCATCACAACGCAAAGGATTATACCTTCACTAGTTATTGTCCAGATTTTTCTCTTGGAGGAAAAAAAAGTTGGTAAATTCTCCTGAGTCCTGCCTGGCATGCAGTCAAGCATGTGGCCCCTGGGCTGCGGTGGTGGCCTCACTGGTACAGTTCAATGCGCGCAGATTTGTCAGGCTGGTGCTGATCTGGACCTCCATCAGGAAAGAAAAGCCTCGAGGGGGCCGGGCGCGGTGGCTCAAGCCTGTAATCCCAGCACTTTGGGAGGCCGAGACGGGCGGATCACGAGGTCAGGAGATCGAGACCATCCTGGCTAACACGGTGAAACCCCGTCTCTACTAAAAAATGTGAAAAACTAGCCGGGCGAGGTGGCAGGCGCCTGTAGTCCCAGCTACTCGGGAGGCTGAGGCAGGAGAATGGCGTGAACCCGGGAGGCGGAGCTTGCAGTGAGCCGAGATCGCACCACTGCACTCCAGCCTGGGCGACAGCGCCAGACTCCGTCTCAAAAAAAAAAAAAAAAAAGCCCCGAGGGAAGGCTGGAGGGCTGGAGGAGCTTCCCAGAGTTGCATACACACACACTGAAACTTGCTTCTCCAGCAGCCCAAGTTAATTCTCTAGTTTCCAACATCCTGTTTTCTTTCTTTCTTTTTTTTTTTTGAAATACACTTTTGAAAGGGGTTAAAATAGCCAGGTGAGGTGGCTCACTCCTGTAATCTCACCACTTTGGGAGGCTGAGGCAGGGGGATCACCTGAGGTCAGGAGTTCGAGAACAGCCTGGCCAACATGGCGAAACCCTTTTTCTACTAAAAATACAAAATAATTAGCTGGGCGTGGTGGCACGTGCCTGTAATCCCAGCTACTTGAGAGGCTGAGGCACCAGAATTGCTTGAACCAGGGAGGTAGAGGTTGCAGTGAGCCAAGATTGCACCACTACACTCCAGCCAGGGCAACAGAGCGAGACTCCATCTCAAAAAAAAAAAAAAGAAAAGAAGAAAAAAAGAAAAGCGTTAAAATATTTTAAATTCTACTCAGACCCTTGTGGAATATGTGAAATGCCTGGGGCGGGGGGCCTAGGGAACAATTTGAAAATCACCAATCTAGGGCCTAGAGGACCCCAGAGAACAGTTTGGAAATCATCAATCTGATCCAACCCCTTTTATCCCTTTCCCCATTTTACAAGTAAGGAGACTGAGGCCCAGAAGCGTTGAAATGGACTTGCTCAAGGTGATGTGGCTAGTGTCAGGGCTGAATGAGAACTTAGGTCATCTTAGGAACCACCACTTCCCTTCTGGTAGTTTTCTGTGATTCCACAGTGCCCGCTGGCTCTGCATAAAGAGCACATGGCATGAGCTAATGCGATTTGAGGCGTCCTACACCTAGTCTGGCCCTTCTCCAGAGCCCTCTCTTGTCTCTCCCGTCTCCACAGAGCCCCGCCTCCGGTTCACACGGCCCCTGCAGGATGTGGAGGGCCGTGAGCACGGGATTGCCGTGCTGGAGTGTAAAGTACCCAACTCCCGCATCCCCACGGCCTGGTTCCGTGAGGACCAGCGGCTGCTGCCCTGCCGCAAGTATGAGCAGATCGAAGAGGGCACTGTCCGGCGCCTCATCATCCACAGGCTGAAGGCAGACGATGACGGTGTCTACCTGTGCGAGATGCGGGGCCGGGTGCGCACCGTGGCCAACGTCACAGTCAAAGGTCAGCTGGCCCATGGGGAAGAGGCTGAGGCGGAGGCAGGCATTTGCTCAGATTCCAGGCTGATGGATTCCCGTCCGCATCTCAGGGCCCATCCTGAAGCGCCTGCCCCGGAAGCTCGACGTCCTGGAAGGAGAGAACGCGGTGCTGCTGGTGGAAACTCTAGAGGCTGGAGTTGAGGGACGCTGGAGCCGTGATGGGGAGGAGCTGCCGGTCATCTGCCAGAGCAGCTCGGGCCACATGCATGCCCTGGTCCTTCCAGGGGTCACCCGAGAAGATGCTGGCGAGGTTACCTTTAGCCTGGGCAACTCCCGTACCACTACGCTGCTCAGAGTCAAATGTGAGGGCAGGAAGGCCTCTGGACAGGCAGGGCAGGGCAAAAGGTTGGCCAGATGCCACAGTTGGGTTGGTGAAGTAGATTTAAGGTGGAAGGGCTGTGGAGGCCCGAGCAAGGCCGGAACACATCCCTGCCTTGGTCTCAGGTGTCAAGCACAGTCCTCCAGGACCCCCTGTATCAGCAGAGATGTTCAAGGGCCACAAGAACACGGTCCTGCTGACCTGGAAGCCTCCCGATCCAGCTCCCGAGACCCCATTCATCTACCGGCTGGAGCGGCAGGAGGTGGGCTCTGAAGACTGGATTCAGTGCTTCAGCATCGAGAAAGCCGGGGCTGTGGAGGTGCCGGGCGACTGTGTGCCCTCCGAGGGTGACTACCGCTTCCGCATCTGCACAGTCAGCGGACATGGCCGTAGTCCCCACGTGGTGTTCCATGGTTCTGCTCACCTTGGTGAGTTGGTCCTGCCAGACCCACCCATCACTTCTCCTCCCTTCCCCAGCCCTCAGTGCTGGTCCTCTCACAGGCCTGCCATCTGCCAGCCTCTGCCCTCTGCCACCCCTTCTAGTTCTGACAGCTGCACTCTGTCCCTGTCGCAGTGCCCACAGCTCGCCTGGTGGCAGGTCTGGAGGATGTGCAGGTATACGACGGGGAAGATGCCGTCTTCTCCCTCGATCTCTCCACCATCATCCAGGGTACCTGGTTCCTTAATGGGGAAGAGCTCAAGAGTAATGAGCCAGAGGGCCAGGTGGAACCTGGGGCCCTGCGGTACCGTATGGAGCAGAAGGGCCTGCAGCACAGACTCATCCTGCATGCCGTCAAGCACCAGGACAGTGGTGCCCTGGTTGGCTTCAGCTGCCCTGGCGTGCAGGACTCAGCTGCCCTCACAATCCAAGGTTGGTGCCGGTGGGGACCTGAGTGGGCAGAGAGAGTCAAGACACAGAAGTCCTGTTGGCAAAATGAGGCAGATGTTGGTCCCATTTCTTGTATCGGGGCCAGGAGAGCAAGGAGCATCCGTGATGGGCTCAGGTTGAGGGCTCAGAGGTCCGGAAGGCCAATTTCAACTTACATGCAACATCCAGGGCATTGTTATCTTGATATATGTCAGCATCATATCCCAATTCTCTGGAGTGCTTTGTGGTTTACAGAATTCTATCACATTTGTCATCTCATTTGAAAGACACAGACTCTGGCTGCTAGTCCCTGACTGCCTCCTGCCAAGTTGTCTAATTGCTGACACTCTCACTGCAACTTTCTACCTGCCAGGCACAGTCCTAATCACCTTACATACATTAACACAATCTTCTCAATGGTCCTGTAAGATAGGGTTTTTTGTTTTGTTTTGTTTCGTGTTTGTTTGTTCGTTTTGAGATGGAATCTCTCTCCGTCACCCAGGCTGGAGTGCAATGGCGCGATCTCAGCTCACTGCACCTTCCACCTTGTGGGTTCAGGCGATTCTCCTGCCTCAGCCTCCTGAGTAGCTGGGACTACAGACGTTTACCACCATGCCTGGCTTATTTTTGTATTTTAGTAGAGACAGGGTTTCACCATGCTGGCCAGGCTTGTCTCAAACTTAAGACAGGTTCTTTTGACATTCCCGTTTTATAGCTGGGGAAACAAGCACAGAGAGGTTAAGCGACTTGCTCGAAGTATGGAGCTAATGAGCACAGGTGCTGAATTATGAACCCAGGCAGTCTGGCTCCTGATCACACTGTGCCACCTGTTGAAAGGGGGAAGGAGGGGAACAAGGCATCCCTGAGGAGGACAGCTGGAGGGGGGGTGCTGAAAGTTCAAGGATCTCGTTAGCATGTGCCATGTCACCATTGCTGGAGTTTGTAAGACCAATCAAGGAATCTGTTGGCACCCATGCGCCGGGTCTTGGGGTGATTCTCTGTCAGCGTCGCAGGCAGAGGGCCAGGCGAGACCTGACCAGCAACCAGAGCAGCATTTCCAAAATGGGCACCCGGCTCACTGACATCAGAACCACCTGGAGGGCTGGTTTATAATGCAGATTTCCTGGCCCCTGCATGCTTGGGAGTCCAAGAATTCTGCATTTTTAGCAGACTCCCTAGGAATTCTTACCCACAGCCAAAGCCCTGCTCTTAAAGGTTGGTGTGTAAGCCTAAGCCTAAGCCTATTTTTAAAAACCCCAACAACAGCAGTGGTTCCCTCTGATGCATCCAACACTGAGCCCATGCACCGGAGGGAGGGGTGCTGATCTGTGCTTCTCCCCACACAGAGAGCCCGGTGCATATCCTGAGCCCCCAGGACAAGGTATCATTGACCTTCACAACCTCAGACCGGGTGGTGCTGACCTGTGAGCTCTCAAGGGTAGACTTCCCGGCGACCTGGTACAAGGATGGGCAGAAGGTGGAGGAGAGCGAGTTGCTGGTGGTGAAGATAGATGGGCGCAAACACCGTCTGATCCTGCCTGAGGCCAAAGTCCAGGACAGTGGCGAGTTTGAGTGCAGGACAGAAGGGGTCTCGGCCTTCTTCGGTGTCACTGTCCAAGGTCAGGAACCACGCCAGCCTGGGCTCCTCCCGCCAATTGTGGGGCCGCATAAGCCATGCCCTCTGGTCTGCTGCCTACTTGGGGGAGTCCTTTACAGGGAAAGCCCAGTGGCCCAGGGGACATGTTTCAGATAACTCTGCACTTGCTGCTTTTTTTTTTTTTTTTTTTTTTGAGACAGGGTCTCACTCTGTTGCCCTGGCTGGAGGGCAATGGTGCGATCTCAGCTCATTGCAACCTCCGCCTACTGGGTTAAAGTGATTCTCCCCTCAGCCTTCCAAGTAGCTGGGACTACAGGTGCGTGCCACCACACCCAGCTAATTTTTTTATTATTCGGTAGACACAGGGTTTCACTATGTTGGTTAGGCTGGTCTCGAACCCCTGACCTGAAGTGATCTGCTCACCTCAGCCTCCCAAAATGCTGGGATTATAGGTGTGAGCCACTATGCCTGGCTTGCTTGCTTGCCTTCTTTTTTTAAGATGAGGGTCTCACTGTTGCCCAGGCTGGCCTTGAACTCCTGTGCTCAAACGATCCTCCTTCCTTAGCCTCCTGAGCAGCTGGGATTATAGGTGTGCACCATGCACAGCATGCCTTTGCCTCCTAAACCCCTGATACACTAACACTGCCTCGCTGTCCACATAGCCTCTGCTGGGTTGGGTGGCGGAACAAAATGCAATTAAGGGGAGGAGAGATGGGAGCAAACACTTTTTGGGCGCTTACTCTGAGCCAAGGATTATGCTAAGTATTTTCAGTATACACTCTTTCATTTAATCCTCACAACTGGATGAGGGGCAATATATCTCCAGTTCACAGGCAAAGAAACAGAGGCTGTAAGAGGTTTTGTGACCTCTGTCATACCATAGCTTGGAGACACACACAGGATTGTTCTATTCCTGCTGCCTCAGATAGAGTCAAACAGAAGTATTGAGTGCAGTCGCCCCGTGGTTCTCACAAGTCAGTCCATAGACTGGCTGCTTTAGGAAGCTCCTGGAAGCTGGTTATAAATCCCTGGACTGTCCAGAGCCCCAGTATCCAGGGTGGAGCCTGACGATCCTCTCTTAACAAGTGCAGACTCTCTGAGAGAGCAGCTTGGGAAGCACAGATCCCACTCATCTCACTGAGTGGAAGTCCTGTTTTCCACACTATTGCCAGGGGCCACACTGGGGCCCTGCCCGAATGCACCCAGTGACAGGGCACCCACTACCTGGAGAGTGGCTGTCTCACTGTTGCCACTTGTTGGGTCATCCTTCACCTCCTGCCTGCCCTGGGGTCTTGTAACAGAGGCAGTAAGCATGGCCCTGATGTGACTTGTGACAGTGACCTCCCTTCAGCCTAGACAAATGGTGGCTGCCACTCTGTGAACTCTCTGTGCCTCCTTCTGTCCATGTACTCACTCCGCCACCTCTGATCCTTTGGGGACCCACAGAGCACTCTGGTGCCACATGATCTCCTGCCATGCCTCACCTGCCATACCCTCAGCGTTCCTTGTCATTGTCCCTGAGTTCCTACACAGCAAGGCCTTAGCCCTCCCCCAGTGTCCTCCTGTGCAGAAACAGTGTCTCCTGGCCACACAGCTAGTTTGGACTCCTTGTGCGGGGGTATCTGTGCAATGCCATCTCTGCTCCCCACCCAGATCCCCCCGTGCACATCGTGGAACCCCGAGAGCATGTGTTCGTGCATGCCATAACCTCCGAGTGTGTCATGCTCGCCTGTGAGGTGGACCGAGAGGACGCCCCTGTGTGTTGGTACAAGGACGGGCAGGAGGTGGAGGAGAGTGACTTCGTGGTGCTGGAGAACGAGGGGCCCCATCGCCGCCTGGTGCTGCCCGCCACCCAGCCCTCAGACGGGGGCGAGTTTCAGTGTGTTGCTGGAGATGAGCGTGCCTACTTCACCGTCACCATCACAGGTGGGGGGCCAGGTGGGCCTCAGAGGCACGGGGGAAGGTGCCCCTGCTCCTGCTGGGGCAGCTGCCACACCTTCACTCCTCGGCCACTGTTCCCCGCCCCTGCTGCCCTCCCACTGGCAGATCAGACCTCCTCCCTTTCTCCTCAAGCTATGGTCTAGTCACACTCAAAAAACGTGTTATCATAAGCACATTGGTCTTGGCTAAGGAAGCCCTGCTTTCTCTGTTCTCCTAAAAACCTGTACCAAGGGAAATCTTTGGGGACAGTGAGTTTATTGCAGGGTAGGGCAGAGTCTAGGGCAAGTGGTCTCAGGCACTAGAGGGGCCAAAAATTCTTGGAGGAGGAGACCCCCAGCTCCATCTGGGGACCCAACCCTCCTTTCCTCAGTTCCACCCTTCATACCATCCCCGTCCCAACGCAGAGAATGTGGAGTATTTCTACAGCTGAGGCTGACCCCGTGGTCCCCGCTGTGTGGCTCCTGTGCAGCACAAGGTCTGCTGTGCTTTTGTGACAGCTGTATTCATGTGTCTCTAGCTGTGAGTAACTGTTAGCTGCTGTGAGATGCAGTCTCTGGGAGGTCCCTCTTCAACACATGGCCTCCTTTCCAGGGGTAGGGGACACAACTGGATCAAGGAGGGCGGCAGGGCACACCTGGCCCACCCCTCATGCCCGGCAGTGGCTGTCCCTGTCCTCCAGACGTGTCTTCGTGGATCGTGTATCCCAGCGGCAAGGTGTATGTGGCAGCGGTGCGCCTGGAGCGTGTGGTGCTGACCTGTGAGCTATGCCGGCCCTGGGCGGAGGTGCGCTGGACCAAGGATGGAGAGGAGGTGGTGGAGAGCCCCGCGCTGCTCCTGCAGAAAGAAGACACTGTCCGCCGCCTGGTGCTGCCTTCTGTCCAGCTCGAGGACTCCGGCGAGTACTTGTGTGAAATCGACGATGAGTCGGCCTCCTTCACTCTCACCGTCACAGGTGTGGGCCCAGCCCAGCTCCCTGGGGTCCCAGAGACAGCCCTGAGCCCTGGAGGAGCTGGCCACATAGCCCCAGCTAGCACCCTGGGGAGGAGGGAGGTGTGGGCTGCGGGTGCATGTGCCAAGGTTCTTGCTGAGATGAGCGCGGGCCCCTATTCAAGGAAATGAGCCCCTCCCCGGTGCCCAAGGCCAGGCCTAGCTCTGCTCCACAGCTCATTTACTGAGCACTTTCCCTGGATCAGGCACTGGGAGTAGCAGGTGAGTCATGCAAACACTGTCCCTTTTCTGAGAGAGCTGCCAGGCTAGGTGAGGTGACAGCTGTTTACCAGGGGTCGCAAACGGGCAGTCCTGGGGCCCCGTGCATTCCACACATGTGCTTTGTTTGGTCTGCAGAGTCTTACCAAAGTCAGGACAGTTCAAATAACAATCCGGAGTTATGCGTCCTCTTGAAAAAGCCGAAGACCCGGCGGCTCTGGTCCCGCTTCCCCCCATGGCGACGAACAGCTGGCACTGAGTAGCAGCTGCCCCCGTAGTGTGGGGCCCACATTCCTCTGTCCCACCGCCCTGCCATTGCTTTTTGCCTTTCCCCAGACTGCTTCAGCCACTAACCTAACCTGGCCCCTGTGGGCATTTGAGTTTGCGACCCCTGTGTTAAACCAATAAACATGCAAATAAATGTACAGTGACACCTGGTGATAAGTACTGTGAGGGCCAAGGACAGAGGGCTCAAGAGCGCAGAGCAGAAGGGTCAGGGAGGGCCTCGGAGAAAGTTGCCCTTCCACACACAGGAGCCAACAGCGCGCAGACACAGCTGCTGCCCTCCGGGAGTGCACAGCCTGGCAGGAAAGCCAGACGCCTTCCAGGATCTTACAGCATGGGTTGTCGAGGGTCCCTGGGCTGGGAGCCACCACCCTGGCCTGGCGACAGCAAGTGCTTTCAAAGCTGATACTGGAGCTAAGTGGGGTGGGGTGTTGGGGGAGAATATTCAAAGCGGGAGAAGCACAGGACAACTGTGGAAGTGACGGAGGTTCAGTGCTGGAGACTTCCGGGCGACGGCTCATAGCATCCAGCCCAGTGTGTGTGTCTGGGGTTGGGGGTCCATAGGGCTAGGCAGCTCTGCGTGGCACAGAACCCCACTGGCTGCATTGGAGCCCCCATCCTACTGTGGCTATAGTCCTGTCCTCCCTCAGCCCTGCCCTGAAAGTCATGCTCCATGCTGAGCTGTTAGGGCCCCCCACTCCCTGCACCCCAGCTAGTGCACCCTGCACACACAAGCCCACAATGCCTAAGAGGCCTTCTGCACACATTCTGCCCTGTAGTAATCACCTTCACCCTCTCCCACTCAGCCGTGGCCAGACATAATGGCCGCATACACACAAACTCCAGCCCACACTCAGGCTTCCCACAAAACACCAGGCTCCCCACAAAACACCAGGCTCCCCACAAAACATCAGTCTCTTCACAGGGAAGTTCACACAAACACCACCTCTGCTCTAGGCCAGAGCAAATCAAGTCTGACACCAAGCTGAGGTCCCGGGGCTGGGTGGCCACGCTGGTCCCCTCACTGATCCCTGTCCTCACTCCACTGCCCTCATCACCTTCCCCACCCCTCAGGCAGCTGCATTCTGGTCTCTCCTGGCCTTGCTTGGCCCCAGAGGACCAGCCTACATCCCCCAGACCCTTAGAGCAAGGAAGCCCATGGGGGAGGCGGGTTGTGTGGCTCAAGGCAGGAATCTCCATGGAGGCAGGGGTGCTGAGTGGGGAGCTTGTGGTTACCCCCGTCCATGCGTGCCCCTATAAAACACCCCCCAACCCCGGCCCCTCAGGCTGGGAAGCTAGCAGTTCCTCAGCCCAGCCACCAGGGGGCTAGAGGCTAATGGAGCACTAGTCTCCCTGAAACTTGAAGATTCTGGGGGAACCTGGGGGCAGCGGGGGTGTGGGCAGGCCTGGGCTCCATGCACTGGTCACCTCTAATATTGACATGGTTCCCTTTCTGCAGAGGAGTAACCAGAACTTGGAGATGAGCTCTCAGAATCAGCATTTAGCACCCCTGGGGAACCCTCAGACAGACGTTGAATGCAAAAAGCATTATTGAGTTCCTGCAAGCCTTGGCTTGGAATTCCTGCCACTACCTGTGGGGTCTGAGCCTCCCTTTAACAGAGGGTATTTCTTCCTCCTGCCCCAGAGTGGGTGTAGCCAGTGTGACCTTAAGGAAGTTGTATAATCACTCTGTGCCCAGTCCCTTATATGGAAAATGGGGATAAAACACTACCTTCCTCTTAGGATTGCTGTGACAGTTAAATGTTTCAAGTGCTTGGGACTGTTCCCGGACCTCAGGAAGCATCATATCAATGTTTGCTATTGCAGATCCACCATCCCTTATCCATAGTTCCAAAATTCCAAAACTCTCAAAATCGAAAGGCTTTTTGTAAGTTTTGTATTCCAAGTCATTTCAGTAAAACCTGAGCTTCATTGCTCTGAAGCTATTTCTACGCTTTAATTATCGTGCCAAGGGTGAATATCGCTCTAGCTATATATCTATAAGATATGAGTGTCTTGTAGATATATTCTTGTATCTGTAAGATTCTGTATCTTTCAATATATCCTGCTTAGGGTGAATGTAATATGTGTTACACCATAGACATGTTAATGTGACTGATGAAGGGGGAGGCCCCCATGGGGGCTGAGGAAGGTATGTGATAGATGAGAAATGCATTATTTCTGGAATCCAAAGCATTCTGGATTCTGTAACACCTCTGGCCCCAAGGTTTTCAGAGAACAAACTGTGGACCCATTATTGCTTATTATTATTATTTTACTTATTAGTCTCATTATCATGTGGGTGATGGGGACTTCATGCTGCCAAATGGCTCCAGAGAGGCTGACGGTGAGCTTGTGACAGGCTCTGGTTGTCCCCACCCTGCAGAACCTCCAGTACGGATCATATATCCCCGCGATGAGGTGACCTTGATCGCCGTGACCTTGGAGTGTGTGGTGCTGATGTGTGAGCTGTCTCGGGAGGATGCCCCTGTGCGCTGGTACAAGGATGGACTGGAAGTGGAGGAGAACGAGGCCCTGGTGCTGGAGAGGGATGGGCCACGCTGCCGCCTGGTGCTACCTGCTGCCCAGCCCGAGGACGGGGGGGAGTTTGTATGCGACGCTGGAGATGACTCGGCCTTCTTCACTGTCACTGTCACAGGTGGGCAGTCTCTGCAGCACACAGAGGAGGTAGAGAGGTAGGGGGCTAAGGGACAGACACCCACCTAGCCCCACCTCCCCCACCCCATCCCCAGCCTTCCCCTTATCCACCTTCCTCGTGTTCGGCCATCAGAATCCTGCTTAGCCACATCAGGTCAGGACCAGAGGCCTGGTGGGAGGGTGCCCAGCAATTAGAACCATTTGTTCATTCATCCATTCATTTAATACTCATTGAGCAACTACTATGTGCTTGGCACTGTTTTAGATGCTGGGGATACAGTAGTGAACCAGTAAGACTAAACCTCCTGTCTTCACAGAGCTTACACTCTAGCGAGGATGAACAGACAAAAAATAAGGGATGGTTTGTCAGGTGGTAACGAGTGCATCAGAGGCAAGGCAGGGAAAGGGGATAGGAAGTGGGGGTGGGTATGGAGTGAGCTGTGTAGATCTGGGTGTGAGTCTAGATCCGCCTCTTTCTGTCTGTGTGACCTTAGGCAAGTCAGTTTCTTCTAAAAAGGCCTCAGGTCCTCAGCTGTGAAGTGCAGCCAGCAGCTGTGCACCTCTTGGGGGTGGTCAGAGTGACTGAAAAACACAGGGTTCTTAGGACAGTGCCTGGCACACAGCAGCTGCTCCATGGACTGCAGCTGGCACCATTCTCAAGAGCTGGGCTGCCAGTGGGGAAGGCTGAGGATCTGGTGGGTGAGGGAGGAGAGGCCCGCTGGCCAAGCCCATGTACGCCTCTCTCTGACCACCCACCAGCCCCACCAGAGAGGATTGTGCACCCAGCAGCCCGCTCCCTGGATCTGCATTTTGGGGCTCCAGGGCGCGTGGAGCTGCGCTGTGAGGTGGCCCCAGCTGGGTCTCAGGTGCGCTGGTACAAGGATGGGCTGGAAGTGGAGGCATCAGATGCCCTGCAGCTGGGTGCTGAGGGGCCCACCCGCACCCTGACCCTGCCCCATGCCCAGCCTGAGGACGCCGGGGAGTATGTGTGTGAGACCCGGGATGAGGCCATCACCTTCAATGTCATCCTGGCTCGTGAGTGCTCCTGGCCAACCCGGGGCAGGGAGGCAAGGGCAAGCATGCGCTGATACCCTCCTCTCTTGTCCAGAGCCCCCAGTGCAGTTCCTTGCTCCAGAGACAACCCCAAGTCCGCTGTGTGTGGCCCCGGGGGAGCCAGTGGTGCTGAGCTGTGAACTGTCCCGGGCTGGCGCCCCCGTGGTCTGGAGCCACAATGGGAGACCTGTGCAGGAGGGCGAGGGCTTAGAGCTCCATGCCGAGGGCCCCCGCCGAGTCCTCTGCATCCAGGCTGCAGGCCTAGCCCACGCAGGGCTCTACACCTGCCAGTCGGGAGCAGCCCCAGGAGCCCCGAGCCTCAGCTTCACTGTCCAGGTGGCTGGTGAGTACAGCCTCGGCACTAAGCCTGAGAGTGGCACCCCAAACCCTGTAGGATTCCTGCTTTTCCAGCATGTCCTGCCCATCCCTGGCCCCGCTTCTCTTAGTACCCTCCCCATCATGCCTCCCCCTGACCTCCTCAAAGCCCTGAGCCTCTCCCCCTCAGTGACCTCCAGCTCTGACTCCACAGAGCCCCCTGTGCGGGTGGTAGCTCCTGAGGCAGCCCAGACGAGGGTTCGGAGCACCCCAGGCGGGGACCTAGAGCTGGTGGTGCACCTCTCCGGGCCAGGAGGCCCTGTGCGCTGGTACAAGGACGGGGAGCGACTGGCAAGCCAGGGGCGGGTGCAGCTGGAGCAGGCCGGGGCCAGGCAGGTGCTGCGGGTGCAGGGGGCACGAAGTGGGGACGCTGGGGAGTACCTGTGTGACGCGCCCCAGGACAGCCGCATCTTTCTTGTCAGCGTGGAAGGTAACAGTGTACCCCTCAAACCCTGTGGGCTCTGGCACCCCAAGGACCACCTGGTACACTTTAGGGGCCCCTTACCCCTCCATCCGCTTGGCTGTCCTGGCTCCAACCAGGGTGTGCATGACCATCACTTGGCTCAGGGCTCCCCTTTCCAGAAACCCTCATGTGAGAGGGTTAAAAGCATAGACTGGACCCGGCGCGGTGGCTCAAGCCTGTAATCTCAGCACTTTGGGAGGCCGAGACGGGCGGATCACCAAGGTCAGAAGATCGAGACCATCCTGGCTAAAACACGGTGAACCCGTCTCTACTAAAAATACAAAAAACTAGCCGGGGCGAGGTGGGTGGGCGCTATTAGTCCCAGCCTACTCGGGGCTAAGGCAGAGAATGGCGTGAACCCGGGAGGCGGAGCTTACAGTGAGCTGAGATCCGGCCACTGCACTCCACGCTGGGCGACAGAAGGACGACTGTCCCTCTCAAGAACAAAACAAAAAAAAAAAGGCATAGAACTGGTGGGTAAAGCAGGAGGCTCTGGCATCCACCCACCAGGTTCCAGCCCTGGATTTTAGGTGCCCCAGTAGCTTGTGACATAATAGGCA